ACCTTGCATTTCTGAAGATCTACAATACCTGTCTAAATTTACACGAAGAAATTGTGAAAAGAACAATAGGAATGAATATTGGGCTCCGTTACTTCTTGGTGGAATTATGGGTTTGACTAAGGTCATCTTTTTTACAATTTCATTACATGACTTTCTACAATATTCGATGACGTAGTCATTATCAATTCCGCACAACTTTTTACAAGCATTTAAGTGTTTTTCCAATCCTAATATAAGTCCATACTGAGCGATTTGTAAGCTGGATGCACAATGGTGAATCGGATGTGGAATCGTTAAATCTTCGATAGTTATACGACAAACACTACCATTGCGTACATACATAGAATCCAACATACTTGGAGCTAATTCCAATTGTTTAAATCGTCTTGTTAGTTCCTTTGGCCAGCGGTAAAATATACTTGTCTCATCATTACTTTTCATTGAGATAAAATTTGGAGAACATAATAGAGTTTTTAATAAGTTTACACCAGTTTCTACTTTAGATCGGTGTGAATTTATATTAACCTGTCTATATGATTTATCAAATGTGCTTGTCGATGACGCAGAGAATGAAACATGATGTCTAATTGTTAAACCCAGTGAAATGACTAAGTCTTCAACAGGACTATTGAAGACATATTCCGAAATCCCCAGACGTATTACTTCTATGATATTATCCAACTCCTGATCGTTATAAAGTGATAAAACAGCAGTTAAAGGTTGTTCGACATTACCATGGAAACTTAAAAGCCAGTTAAATATAGCATGAATACGTCTTTGATAGAACGACGCGATTTTATCAGTAAAACTTTCAGTTAAAGTGACTATTGCAGAAGGAAGACGTATATCTGACGCCATATCATTCCCACAAAGAACAGCGAAAATTGGTAACAATGGATACTGAAGTTTGTAAAACGGTCCCGATTTATTTAGAAGTGAGCATTGAATGTAAGAACATGGAGTACCGGAACGATAACATGCAGCACACGGAGAATATTTCCGTTTACAATCAAAGGAAAACGACGAGAGAGGAATAAAATTGTAGACTTGATTATTTTCCAGTGGTCGATATATGAAAAAGTCAGAATCTCCACTAGTAACTGGACAATTCAAATAAATAGAAAGTTGTGCAACACAGAGATCAGCCTCACGCTCACAGGCTGTGTAACGAATAGAAAACTTCCGCAGAATTTCCACAAGAACATATCGACAAAGTCGAGGTAATATATCAACATTCAAAAGATCAGAATCAGAAGTGGTGGCATTGTTCAAAGGCATTGTTGATAGCTTTTTCAGGTTTTCAGTACTTCGCTTCAACAGAGTGTTTAGTTTTGATCCCTATGTTAGAAAACAAACAAAATTTGATATTAATTTACAGAATTTTCGGTGTTACACATAGCGAGCGGAATCGGTGAAACCATACTGTGGAAAAACAAGCTGTAAATTTTACAGTAATACTCTCTATCCTACTGTTCATTTACAATACATAAGCTCACTGGTACGCAGGAAACACGATCTGTGTGAGGTATCCACTAAATGAGTGATACTTAGTTATGAGGTGGTAAATTACATGTTCGCTGGTTCGTGATGTAATGAATAGGCTGTTACCTGCCGATACCTATTGTTTTCCCAGCAATTCTATCGAAGCTGGAACTTGGTCAAAATATGAATAAATAAATACAAAACACAAAATAATGGAGCAAAGAATATTCTTTTCGATAAATTCCTCTTCTAGGCTCTACAATTATATATGTGTTTATATACACAGAATATTTTAAATTAGTAGTTAATAAAAATATTAGCTTAAATTATTATAATAATTAAGATATAAAAGAGAATAGAATATCAACTAAAATTAGGGAAATTTCACAAAAATTCTGGATTATTCAAACCTGGATGGCCAAGGTAATGATAATGACTGAACTGACTTCTTTTGGGTGCATAAATTACTCTTATTAATATGAATCCCCACAGCCTCAGCAATATTTAGAAGTCTAACTCTTAAAGCGAAATTGAGATTCGCAGGTATGCGGTAAATGACCCTGAAAGCATGATTAACGTCAATCTTGTGTTCTGTCTCCACAAGATGCGCCAGAATAGCGCTGCGAATAGATTTTGTTTGACCTTTGCTTAACCAGGCAGGGTGATGTTGGAAAATTCGACGAGAAACACGCCTAATTGTACGGCCTATGTAACTGGCTCCACAGGAGCAGTTTAATTGGTATATACACATGGAAGAGGCGAAATTAGGCAGTTTGTCTTTTATTCCCGAACGCAGAAGAGGAGTGGTTTTGAAGATACAGCGTAATTGAGCAGCAGGGAATGCTCTTTTAACCGCATTTCTGAGTCGATATGTTAGTATCTCACTTGTGTTGTCTCCTAGGAACTGCATCTGCAAGAACAAGGCTTTGTTTGGAACTGTTTAGGTTTTAGATTCATATTCTTATCAATAAACTTTTCGGGATAACCATTCTCACTTATATCTTTATTATTATTATAATTTAAGCATCTTTAATGAACTGCAATAGCATTGATCATACTTTACAAATCGATATTATTTAAAAAACGCTAATATTGTTATTAACTACTAATTTAAAATATTCTGTGTATATAAACATACATATAATTGTAGAGCCTGGAAGAGGAATTTATCGAAAAGAATATTCTTTGCTCGATTATTTTGTGTTTAATAGATGTCTGAATGAATATTTTTGCAATATTGAAATACATACAACTCTATTATATGGAAGAGATGGGTTTGCATAACACCCAACCTAAACAGTTTGACAATGCGAATCAAAATACATCTCATGAGCACAAAAATTTCACCTTTTGTTTTGCTTCAGACGATACCTTTGTCACTTCGTCACGTTTTCATATATTTCCTCAACTATTCCTTCTAACTATTTGATCAGCGGTGATGCTACTGGCTTTATTCTCTCATTTTCACAATTGAAGAACTCTTCCTGATCAGTTTGGCATGAAGTACTACAAATTAAAATTGCAAGGGATTTTTGAGAGGCCCTATTTTCCTTGTATCTCTCTGTTGATTTGGTTATAGTTCTTAATCAAACTTTTTGTGCAGTACTATATCTGGGGGAGTAAAATAACCTATGGCAGTAATTGTAGATTTGTAAAAGGGACAAGCGAAGTACATTATGAAAATAGAAGAGATATAAAAATTTACAAGAAGAAAAAGAAGAAAAACAAACCTCTTTAGGATGACATCCACCGAAGACAAAAATTGGTTCAACACGACAAAGCCGAAATTTCTCTATAATTGATTCAACATAACTTTTGTAAATTAAGTACTCTCCACCATATTGACACCGGAATGCTGCTTTACGATAGCAATGAGTTGCAAAGTTTTCCCCATCAATTATTAAAAATTCATTATGCAACTCGTATGGAACAAAGTTTTCATTGTTGCTGTTCACGTAAGACCACAATCCTCGAATACCCATATAACCTATAAAAAAGGCATTATAAAAATAATTTAAATGTCATTTTACGACAACGTATAGGTTACTGCTCTAGACCAAAACTATTGTGTAAGGGATGACAATACTACTTGGTCGGTAAGATGAGTAGGCTTAGAAAACCAGACTCTTTGTTTAAAGTTCAAAAGGTAAGCAAGCTACTGCATCACTGTAGAACTTGTAGCTTCAGTGCCAGTTAGTACCTTTAGATTAACAAATAGGGAAACGAAGAACGATGAAAGCTAAGAAGAACATACAACACTGAATATTTACTGTACATTCATTATATAACAGCTGCATTAAAAATGAGAAAAAACCCTTTAATGAACCCTAAGAATAATCCATAATTCTCATCACCAAATTACCACCAAGTAGTTTTCAGAAAGCGACAGTAACCAATTTGTTTTATTGAAGAGGATGATGGCTGACTGGATTCAACATAGAACTTGGCAGCAGTTCGAGTTGCCACGTTCCAAAGAGCACACAAAGGTAGACAAGAAAATGAGTGAAGAGAATCAATAGAGTTTTGACAAGTATAAGAGTGAATCAGAATGAGTAATGGTAGAAAGGAATATGAAAGATTACAGAGACTGAATACATCTGTGCCACTGACAACGATTTTGAGCCATGTCACCTATTGTCTGCAGCCATTGATTTTTAGAGTCCCGAGGGCGGGCCCCAACCCGGAAGTCTGCATCTCCCTACCTGACTCAGTTTAACTGTCAAGGATTTCATGGATCGGTGCCATGTTTTTGTTTGGCCACCACTTTTTTCCAATCTGCACCTATATCAGCTAGTAACGCCCGTCGGGGGAGACGATGGTTAGGCATGCGCAGCACGTGACCTAGCCATCTCAATCTATGTAACTTTATAGTCTCTTCGATTGATTTTCCCTCTTTGCCCAACACTCTACGCCTAACGTCAACATTACTTACCTTATTATACCACCTAACGTGAGAAAGAGATCGTAGACATCTATGATCAAAAACAGGCAGCCTTTTCATGTCTTCAACTAGTCTTGGCCATGTTTCAGAGCCATAGAGAAGGACAGAGCGAACTGCTGAGCAGTACACACGTCCCTTGGTTGATAGCCGGATGTCACGCCTACGCCAGAGATGGTGTAAATTAGCGAAAGCAACCCGAGCTTTTTGGATCCGTGCTGAGATTTCGTCACCAATCAATCCGTTGGTGCTGATACAACTTCCCAAATAGGTGAAGTGGTCAACATGTTCTATCACTTCACTCCCTATCACTAAGCTGGGGGTAGACGTAGTCCAGTCCTGTAGCAGCATCTTACATTTTACAGGGGCGAATCGCATGCCAAACATTCGAAGATTGCTGCTCAAGGTGTAAGAGGATGATAGAATGTATCATCGCTGCTAATTTTGTACAAAAACGTGACTTGGGTAGTTTTCTTTCCATTCATGATGGATACAGCATAATCAAGCTGATATTCAACTGGTAATCAAGTCACACTTGTTCTTGAAGATTATGACTTATCCACTTTGAAAATCTCTTAAGATTTACAGGAAACAAGCTTGAATTCTATTGAAAAAGAAGTTGCAAGCAGAAACAGAAAAGAAAAACGAATGAAGGTGATAAATACATTTTATTATTAATAAACTTTGAAGAATATGAAAAAGTTTCCATAGAAAATAATATTATCAAACAGTAACATCATACATCTTATTCAGAAAACTGTACATCTGAATTCAAACCATTATCATATATCAAACATGCAGGTATGATACAATGACAATTACTCAGAGAGTAATTGCAACCAATTGATTTTGTATCCATGGTCATATATTTAACTATGTAGGGAAAACTATTGGTTTTCACTATAACAGCAAGTAATTATTAGGTATAAATATCAAACTTAATTGTAAGTTTGAGTATTAGAGTCATGCGAATACTCCTAAACCTCAAATAGAGAAAGAGAGAGATATATATGGAGACGGTGGATAGTAACCAGTGTAGCTTGCAGATACAAAGTGTATTGGTTGGATTCTAACATATATGTTTAATATGAAAGTTCATGATATACTGCGTCTGCATAATACTACTAAACAAAAATAAGTTAAAGAACACAGAGAACTGTATTGCATCTGATTATCAGATATGTCATAAAATCAACTGTGGAATATAATCCTCACATGGATTCGTATCGCTGAAAACTCCTAAAAGACAATTAGTGTTTTCGGCGTCTAATGATTTTGTAGCTGGTGTCCATCCGTCATTAGAAAGAAAAAAAACTGCCCTGATCAACATGACTCCTGATACATAGAAATCACATCCAACTGGTAAACTGAAGTACACTTCTAGTAAACCCCAGTTTTGTTCGAAGTATGTATGACAAAAATCTCATTGGAGTGAATGAATGGAAACTATAAATTTAAGCATACTTTACCAACCACAATTATAGTATACTTTTGTACACTTACACTCAATCCTAAGTTAATAAGCGCTTATAAATTTACACTAGTAGAATATGTCAACATTTCTAGATCAATTATAAGCGTAGTATATACAAAAGTCGAACAGTGTTTATATAAAAAAAAGAGTTGAAAATAGCAGTTATTATATTCTTGATGTAAGAAAATATTTCCAAGTAATATACAACTGAGGTCAGTCATCACGCCAAACTGCATCGACGGCATCTGTACGATAGCGTTGAGAGACGATAGAATCGTTCAGAGGGAAACACAAACCAGCATTAAACATCAAACATGCAGTGTGTGCTATCATGGCGCCATTATCAATACAAAATCGTTCATCGGTTGCAAATAATTTGGCACCACGTTCTTCAGCCATACAACCCATCATTTCTTGTAAACGAACATTGCAACCAACTCCACCGACAATGAGAACCTCCTAGGAATAGAAAAACACAAAAACTACACATAGCGACAAAATATCCAGTATAAATATGAACATTTGAAGATAGGACTGGCAAAATGATCGACTGTTAGACACTAGATCTTTGCTCTGTGAAATGTCCAATGCTGGTTCAGAATCATTTAAATGGAAATCTTGATGGCAATACATTCGTTTAGAATTTATCTGAAAATAAATAAAGCCCATTTAAGCCACAAAGGAGCGCAGTCTGCCTTGATAGCATTCATTTGAGTAGAGCATCAACTTGGGAACTAATCACTGGGAAACAAGCACAGCGATTAAAGAACCATGTATTCATTAACACTTACAAAGTCAGCCAAAATATATTACCTTGAAGATTTCTTCAAAATTCATAGCTTACTTCTACATAAATCACATGTCTTGGTTATTGTAATAACTAGTCACCAGTTCATTAATGCTTTACGAAGAAAAAATGAAGAGCTCCGACTGTTCGCAGACATTAGAAACGCGTTACTCTGATATATTCCACCCAGAACTAATATAAGCGTAAAACACGGACACTGTGGTAGTAGTAGAATGTAACTCCAAATTGATTTGGTTATTAAATATATCACAGTATGTGTGGTATATCTAATAAAGAAAATAACATGGAATGTATTTTCAATCTGATTGGTCACCTAGTGATTTCGATGGCGCATTTTAAATCTGACTGATTATCACTTCCTTATCGATTTTATGAAAGGAGTATTCAGCGCTTTGTGTTTTACTATAGCATGTGCAAACCACTTGGTTGTGATTATTTGATCTTTTTACTTCAAAAAAGGGGTGACAGTGATGATCTGATTGGTTAACTGTTTTGTGCTTGAGAGTACATTACGCACTGATTGGTCGGATTACAATGAAAGTGTTCACTACCGGTGAATTATGTAATATTTGGAAAAACAATTCTCACCCTAATACTGCTAATAGTACTTAACTTACTTCATTAAAAGGGACCCGAGCTGATACAACTCCGTAGACAGACAGTCCGTGGTTTGAAAGAATTTAAACAAAAGCTTTTTGTCAGACTTTCTTCAGATTGTAGTAAGTTTCTATACCCCGACCGAAAGCTGCTACCTTGACGTAGTGGTCGGGCTTGCATATCGCGATGACCCAACGAGCTACACTGACTGGAACTTATGTTCCTGTAGGTCCTACAATGCCATAAAGGTTGTTTGGATAGCGGTTAGACAAAAAGCAGTTACCCAACCCAGTGCTATGACTCAAAGTAAATCACAAAATATCATGCCCGATCGGTCGGGGCCCGGATAAACGACCGCGCTTCCTGCTGCAGTGTCACAGGGCAGAAGTGATTAATATGCTACTGAGAAGCACCAAATGAAAAAGAAAAAACAAAAACAGGCCGTGTGTGACCGGCCTCAAGCACTTGTCCCCTGGGCTCTGCGGTCACGCAACCAACTTCCACGGTGTGGGCAGCCGGGAAGTAACAATCGCCCTCACAATCCGAAGTGCACGCGAAACCTCTCTAATCCTCACTCATCTTTGTCTTCATCTTCATCTCTATTATCTTGCCTTCCTTCTACTAATGCAACTCCTCTACTTGATGGCTCTTCACTTCCTCTTCACTCTGTGTGCACTGAAAACGACGGAAGTTTCTATACATCGAAATAGTAGTCTAGCTGGGCAAATTTTTCTGTACGATATTATTGATTGTAATTTAAATACTGATTTGTATGAGCTTTTTTTATTATATACATGAGTTCAAAAATGAATATCTTAATTTCTAATGACGAATTTCGCTGATACCAAGTATCCGTTTTTTCTCATTAGGTTTTACTCAGTCATCGTTAAATAAAACTGAATCCAAAAAATAATAATAAACTTTGGCAGCTTTATTTTGTTTTTGATTCTAGATTCCTTCGAACTGACTGATTTGTAACTAGATGGACTGTTGTTACTCACCCAAAAAATTAACCACTAAAGTACTGTTCCAATAGTGGAGAAGACAGTAGTGAGATAAACTCAGAAAATAAGATTTATTCCTCCAGAGAAAAACAAAAGACGTGAATAACCAAAATGAATCGAAATTTTAAAACGTTTCCCTTCAATAAACCACAAAACATTTGGTGAAATAAATCCATATGAATAACAAAAAAAAGAAAATTGCATGCGTCGTTGGCATAGCGGTTAGGACGCTCGCCGACCATGCACATGGTCCGGGGTTCGATCCCCGGCCACAGACGCACTCCTTTACCTCGGTAAACCAGAAATAATGCTGGTGAAGAGGAAAGGTTGGGCATGAGGCTAGCAACCCCATCCTGTAAAATAGACACTGCTACAGAAACTTCAAGCCACTAGCTTGAAGCCCTATGTTCCAGTGAGGAACGTGAAGGTAAAAAAAATAGACTAACCTTTGCATTACAATGTGCCATAGCTCGTTCAGTGATTTCAACAACCATAGCAAAAGCTGTTTCTTGTAGACTGAAGCATAAATCAGCTACAGTATATTCACCTGTTTCTAAGAGTTTAGGAGCACGTTCTTCCAAATATGATAATAATCCAGCGAATGAAACATCCATACCTTTTACTGAATAAGGTAATTCGAAAAATTTAGATCCTTGTTTTGCCAACTGTTCAATATTGTAACCTGGACTAGGATCATTCGAGAGATTGACAATACGAGCAAATCTAAATAAAACATGAAATAGCAATGCTCAGATACGGACTGGACAATTTCTACCATCAAATTAACTGTGACAAAGAATCTGATTAACAGAGCCAAATACCTATTTAATAAAGGAGGAAGTGATCAGCAGGGAACTAAAATTGGTTCAGTCCACTCTTGAATCAAATAATTATCCCAAAGCCTTCATAAAAAGATATTTAAAATGTGAAGATAAGGACGGATCGAAACATGTTGCTAAGAATTGGGTTAGTACAGCGGTGATTCCTCACCGCAAAGAAACATTGGATGAGATAAGGCGAATCCTTAACAATCATGATATGAGTGTATTTTCATGCAACTGGCACTTTACGCTCATCACTGGTGAAGGTTAAGGATTGAGACGCCATATGTGTAGGAGAAACTTCCAGACCGGTAAATATAAGGGTAAACGAGCATAAACAATGTCTAAAGGTGGTTCCAAAGACCTATGCGAACTTAAAGAAGGTAGAAAACAGATCAGAGATTGCACTGCATTCGATAGAAACGTGATACGAAGTCGACTCTGATAGAACTAAGGTTCTACAGAAAGGCTTTGGCTGGTATAAAGAAAGACTGACTGCAGAAGTTCTGCATATATGGGTCAATCCCAACAGTTTGAAGAAGCGTGTAGGTGTGATGTTAGCTGATCCATGACAAATCCTGATTAATAAATAAAAAGTGGTTATGCACCACTAATTAATCATACTTGGTCTACATTCCCGATTGTCTATATATTCTTGTGGAGAGGCTAGCAAATGTTTTACAGATGCTTACCCATTCACACACACACACACACACACACCATTGTACACCGCATATACACATATATATTTTTCATATTCAGTTATCTATGACCATGAACTTTTAGTCGTACGTAATCACTAAAATTCTGATGAAAAGTACACTCTAAAGTGTTTAAAAAAAAGTAGACTAATATTGGTAAAATTAAAACAATTAGTCCATTTGATAAATTTGAATAAGGCATTCAGAAGACAAATTTTGCGAGATGATATCATTTCGTAGTTTCTCTACAACCGCTTTACAACTGACATGGTTCAAAATAATAAAATAAAATTCATGACAGTTACTCAGTTATATAAAACAAAAGTACATGCTAATGACCAGTCATACTCAAATAACTCATGGAAAATTCCCATTGTAACATATAGAAAATCAAAACAAGTGATTCAGTGAAGAGACTCTTTCCAACGAATTTATCACCACGTTTTATAGATAAGAATATACGTTCAAATCCTATAAAACGTGACTTATCATCCGTACCCAAGAAAATACTTTACATGAGCTTGGAATTCAAAGAGGACTTAGCTTTCGATATCATGAAACGAAGGATATCACAGAATTCAATTTGTGGGGTAAAAGGGACAAATAAATATTTTCAAGATTTGGTTTGTAAGGATTAGATATTTTTCTCGAGTTTGAACACGGTTTGATATAAGTTAGAGAACCATTGAAAACCAGGGACTACTGGATAGCTGTTTCATCAGCCTAGTTTAGGAATCATTGGCAGTACGCACCCACCGCCAGGGTTCGAACCCAGGATCTACCGGTTACAAGGCAAAACAAATCTATTCCTTACAAACCAACTCTTGAAAATTAATCTGATTCTCGCTAGCGACTTGCTACAGGACTGAGTTTCCTGCAGTTCTAGTGAGAGGTCGTGACCAATGGGGTTCATCCAGTCAAGTGTGAGGATGGATTTCCCACCGATGACATTGATTGGTGGTCGCGCTATAATCATAATTTGGTAGAATTTAGAATTCATGAGCCATTGAATCTGGTCCCAGTAGCTGAATGGTATACGAGTTCACCTTGTAACAGGGAGATCCTGGGTTCAAACCCTGGCGGTGGGTGCGTACTGCCAATGATTCCTAAACTAGGCTGACGAAACAGCTGTCCAGTAGTCCCTGGTTTCCAATGGTTCTCAAACTGACATAAATCCGAGGTCAAACTCGAAAAAAACAAATAAGTATCTCCAGACATATTTACTTACATTGTTATCTTTAAAGTCAATGTAAGTATTTGGAAGCCAACAAATGTATTTTCAAATGAAATACAGCTAATTATGAACCACTTATGAACTATATCTTGTTATTCGTTTAGTTTCCAAGTGGAACATAGGGGTTCAGCAGCGCATCTCCATTTCATCCTGTTTTCTGCGATTAACTTTACCTGGCTCCATAAATGCTCATAGGCTGTCATCTCTTCCCTAAACGATCTTCTCTATGTTACCCTCGAAGTGACACCCAACTCATCGTTTCCCATTCCAGTTCTGTTCGAGCGCCTGTCATGAGGTGTCACTCAACGGTCTTCTCAGAGTGTTGCCCATTCCATCTCTGTTTTCTTCGGTGTATTTGTTGGGCAATAGGTTATTGGTTGATTCGTTCCCAGTTTTCCTTGTTGCTAAATGAAAGAAGTGACCTCTTTCAAATTTCTTTCGTTGATAGTGATCGGTGCTTGTTATTGTATATGCCTAGCCAAAATACTCGTATCTCACTGGAGAAGCTTACCAATAACAATGACTTCAACACAAAGCACACTCTATCTTGTTCTTAGTATTCAGTAACTTTTCACTTGACTAGTATTATGACTATACCTTTTAAGAGAATAATCAATCATTTAATACGCGGTATAGGTCAAATTAATGCAAACTAACCTGTCAAAACAGTTTCCCAATGCTATGTCAATTGTTTCACCGAAAATACGATAACGACCAGAAACGTAAGCAATGATTTGTGTATTACCACCGCTGACATAGAGTATAATAGGTGATTTTGCACCGGTGATAAGGCGACCCATTTCAATATGTGCTATACAATGATTAACTCCAATCAGTGGTTTGTTCCACAATTGGGCGAGGGTACGAGCAACAACAGCACCAGTTAAAAGCGGAGCTCCCATTCCAGGACCCTGAGCATAGGGAAAATGAGTTTTATAGATATCTACGTTTAAAAGATGAGCGGTACTTATCAATTTAGTTTAAGTAATATGTAAATATGTAAAATATTTTCAATGGATGCATAACTTATTCACAAAAAACAAAACCTAGAACAATATACACTATTCGCTAAAAATGTGCCTGTAATATTTTAGGTAGTTGGTAAAACTATTACTTATAGTTAGTTAGAACTCAGATAGATGCCAGTGCCCGGCTATAAGCCACACTTAGCGAGTGAGGCCCGATAGTACAACCCGGTTACCCAGGTTGAAGTTGGTGGACTGGGATTCGAACCGATGGCTTACTGGCTGAAAGTCGAGTGCTTATGTCAATGAGTCACGCATACAGTATTATTAAGAATAGGACGGATATTGTGACAGCTTAATTCTAACATAGCATAACTACATATGCATTGGCAAACAATGATACAGTAAACGACTAAGATAGTTATTGCAAGTATATTTTGAAACGATTAAAAGCATGCAGTGATTTTTAAGCTTCATACAACCCATTTTCAACATAACACGTAAATACAATACCGAACCAACCTTAAATGGAAATATAAATAGAAGTTAGGATTAACGGACTGTTGGATTCTGTTGCAGTGGCTGAATGGTCAACAAGACCACCTCGTAATCCGACGGTAGTGGATTCACTTCTCCGTGGGGTCATGGGTGTGTACTGATGAAACACCAGAATGTAACGACTGTCCGGTATTCCCTGGCTTTCAATGGTTATTTTTCACTCCAATACGTTCTCAGTGGAATATAGGGCTTCAAGATGGAGCTTTCAAGTTTCAGTAGCAGTAGTCATTTTGACTCAGTGAGGTTGCTAAACCCACGCCCAAACTTCCCCCTTTGTTGAGTTCATAGCCGACTAAGGGAAGTAAAGATGAGAGCTAGCCGGAAATCATTTCCTCAACCACGTGCACAGTTGGCCAACATTCTATCGCTGAACCACCGACGTTATATCCTATGGCTTAGATGGGTTTTTTGTTTTACCTTAGATTAATCCGTCATCAAACTTCAAATCAACGTAATCCCCGTAAACTAATAAATAATTGAATGAGGAAGTTATTTTAGGAATTCAATTATGCCCCACGTCTACTATCTTTAAATTCCAGGGCATAATATATCGACAAACAGAAAATGTAGCAATGAGATCACCAAGATCCCCAATCCTATCTTCATGGATAGCCGGGAAAATATAGCTCTTAATACATTTAATCCTACTCCAAAGATACGGTATAAGATATGTAGATGACACTTTTATAGTGTTAAAAACAGAACATATCTCTAGTTTCTCCACACATATAAACTCATTAGTTAAGGGAAGAAAATTCACAATTGAGTCGGAAATGAACAAGGAGAATTGGCTACGTTAGGTTGTAAAATAAAACGAGCAGAAGAAGATAAACTGCACACTAGCGTTTATAAAAAGCCAACGCATTATAATAAACACTTAGATTTTAATTCATCACATCCGTTGTCCGTAAAGGCTGGCTTAGTTAAGTATCGAACAAACCGAGCAATAACACAAAGTAGTTCAAAAAAAACCTAAATGATGAAATGAAACAGGTAGAAGCGTTGGTGTTAAATAACTATCCTATAAAATGCATTAGGAAGATCAGTAAAGGTCAACAGCACAATAAAAATAATGGTGAAACTAATAGTAATAATACAAACAAGAAAGAATATAAGGCATCTACAGTTTCACCATATCAGGAGAGAACATCTGAGGCCCTACGTAGTATTCTCAACAAAGCAGGAATCTGGATGGCATTTAAACCTACAAACTCAGTAAGGTAGGGCAAGCTCTGTACGTTAAAGGACCCTGTTGACCCAATTAAACAAAATAATAGAATTTAAAAAACACTTTGCAAAGACTGTGAGTTAGGTCAATTACATAGGTCATACTAGTAGATCGGAGGTAGTCAGATTGTCAGAACATAAGAATTTCGCTGAGGTTAGAATGGTTGGCCCCGCGAAGATTTTAGAATTTAGAAAAAAACTCATAAACAGTACTGCAAGCAATAACACACAACCACACAATATATGGCGGGAGAGAGTTAAAATTCTAAAAAGTAATATGGGTAAGTGGAAAAAGGGGTTGACTACTGAATCTTTGTTTATCGAATCTACACCCAACACATGCAATAGGAATGACTTACCACCAGTACCATAGATGTGAAAATACTACTACTAATCAAATCAAGCGGTGAAAAATAATTGAATCATATAAACGAAGTTAGAAAGTTGTGTGAGTAACTTGATATAATTATGAGCAATATATTGTGTTCGAAACGTCATCAATAAGTATTACTGTATAACACTGTGAGACTTTATCACAATGAAATTTTTATTCACAATGGAAAATTTACTATGGTTGTCTATATTACAACTAATTGTGCGATTATAAATATAAAAGATAGCATGTTTTGCACAAACGCACAAAAAATGAGATGCATATAGTTGGTATGAGCACGTGCTCAAGTGATCTGAGTATCTAGTGGCCAACGTCAACAGCAATACAAATGGTTTATATACACGATCTACGTGCACAGACACACGATATTGTTTAAAGAACAAACAGAGTCACTACCACACATAAAAAAGAATAACGCAATCGACTAAGATAATTTATTCGCTTGTCAAATGCACCTTTATAGACAATCAAACAAACTGCGGTAATTCACCAGTTCATGTAGGTAGTTAGTAAGTGTCTGTCACTAACATATGATTAACAAATCATTCGAGAAACAATTAAAACTAATTGTATAACTACGCTCAGTGAAACAGCTAACCGCGTCTGTGGCATAGCGGTTAGGACGCTCGCCGACCATGCACATGGTCCGGGGTTCGATCTCCAGCCGACACACTCCTAACCTCGCCTAGATTACTAGCTCACTAGTTTTCTAGCCGGTCCCAAGCCCAGATGAAGAGGGGGAGTTGGGGCGTGGTGCTAGCAACTCCACCTCCAAAACTTAACCAAATTGCTACATAAACGTCAACGCACAAATATATTAAAAATTCTAAAAAATTGGTAGGGGTTTATACTAATAAAACTAAAATCGACTGCCTATAAAGTCTTACTTAACAACACACACACACTAACAATTCTGTGCATAATAGAATATTTCTAAAAATAACTGACCTTGGTATAAGAAACCGCATTCAATTCAGATGGATCGATTTTTGCCTCTTTGATAGCCTTTCGAACAAGTTCAATGATATGAGATTGGTGAAATCTAGCTGTTTCTGTCGGTTGGAAACCCTCTCCAGGTGGAGTAATATACGTTACTCTTGGATTAGCAAGGACTATACCATCTTGCACTATTCCGACACCCAACTTATTTGCACTTCCTTCAATACCCAGTATAATTGTCATTGTATCTACAAGTAGCAAAACAACAATTCATGATTGCTATCAATAAACGTTAATAAAGCGAATCAAGCTTCTTCAAGTGCGTGCTATAACTGAATACGTTTCATAATAATGTATATAAAAAGTTTTACTTAACTTCATAAACCTACTTGGACTTTATCTTCACATACTACTACGAAATAAGTACCGTAATTCGACTAAGCGGTCTACGTAAAATTAAGTCGTACGAACAACACCAATCACTTTCAACAGGTTTACATGTCATAGCAATGTGATTCCACGGATAAATAGAAAGTAGTGTATAACAAGTTTGAAGGTTTAGCGGCTGAAAATAACAAAACCTGATCGCTTAAACTAAAGTAGATATAATAACATGAAACGTGAGAATTCAAGCTGCTGACCCACTAAGAAAATCGTGATTTTAGCGACTAGCTGGCCTTAGACGAATTTATTAAAATATTCTTGCAGAACCACTCAAAGATTTGATTTCCTACTTTCTAAAAAAAGGGTCTCTTATGCAACGAAAACTTCTATCATACTTATTTTATCGAGATCTTCACAGACAGTTTCAAACGCAATGGTGTTAATATGAGACTCATTTAGAAATTCAAGAGGTATATAACACCTTTTATGACCACACTGAAAAGTATTCCCTGACAACATAATCCTCCTGCTATCCAAGCATTCAAGCCGTTTTCTTTACAACCTGCAGCACTTTATATCAGATGTTCTAATAATGTTAGTGGATAAAAGTGGACTGGTTAGCGAACATTTTCAGGTAATTTATAAGAGGGATGTTTAGAAAAGTATGACACAAATCAAGCAGGTGCTTGACAGATTGTGGATACTTCCGGATGCAATGATTCTGCAGCCATATCATGCAGTCACTTTCACAGGCTTTTTTTATCAGAATTTACAATGGTTTAACAATAAGGCATGATTTAAATTGAATCAACCGGTTGAATACTCGGACTTTTTTCAAGTATTGGTTTTGTAGGGATTTTGTTTGATTGCATGGAGGATTTCATCATGAACTGACATCAGTTAGAGAACCGCTGGAAAACCAGCTGGGAGTACTGGACGGCTGTTTCGTCCTAGTTTGGGACTCTTCATCAGCACGCACCCACCGGGATTCGAACCCAGGACCTTCTAGTTACAAGGCTAGCGAGCTCGTAGACCATTGAGCCACTGGGACCGGATCAAATGGTCCTTGAATTCTAACTTCTGCCAATTCACGACATAGCGCGACCATTTCGCAATGTCTTCTTCGATGAGTTACTGCCTCATCTTCAACCTACTGTACCCTACTGGTCACGGCTTCCCTGGGTTCGAATCCCGGTGGGTGCGTACTGATGAAGAGTCCCAAACTAGGACGAAACAGCTGTCCAGTACTCCTAGGTTTTCCAGTGGTTCTCTAACTGATGTCAGCTCATCATGAGACCCTCCAAGAACTCAAACAATCCCTACAAAACCAATACTTGAAAATTAACCTAATGCTCTCTGGTGACTGGCCCTATTCAGGCAGTTAACGTGGGGTTCTAGTGGGAAATCGTGACCAGTAGGGTACAGCAGGTTGAAGATGAGGCAGTAACTCATCGAAGAAGACATTGCGAAATGGTCGCGCTATGTCGTGAATTGGCAGAAGTTAGAATTCAAGGACCATTGGATCTGGTCCCAGTTGCTCAATGGTCTACGAGCTCGCTTTGTAACCAGAAGGTCCTGGGTTCGAATCCCGGTCGGTGTGTACTGATGAAGAGTCCCAAACTAGGACGAAACAGCTGTGTAGTATTCCCAGGTTTTCCAGTGGTTCTCTAACTTAGACTTTTTGTTATACTGTTGTCAGTTAAATGTGAAGACTCAAACATTATAAACTGTAAACAACACAGTAATAATTTGATGAAATGATTTCTGGTACTTCTTTTTTATCTAACGAATATATTGCAGATTAGTAAAATGTGAATAGAGCATACAAAACATATGAATATGGAGGTGCACAGAAAGCTACAGATGGTACACTGAACTCTGAATATTTTTCACGGTTATAAAAGTAACTTACTGACAAAGTGATACAGAACTTTGTACATATGCATATATCGCTTTGAATTGCCAGACTTTTAAGAATCACAAATTAAAGTAACGAGACGAAGTTTATCAAGCCATTTCACAAAGAATCGTCAAACATTGATTCTTAGAATCTAATCCCGATAAATTATACACGCCTATGTGGCGAAAATCAACGGTCAATAGCTTAATGTAGTGGTGTCACAGTTTGGTACAACCACTTTTAAAACTTTTTTCAATTTAATTCTCACTCGAGTCGATGAAGACGGTGATTCAAGAAGGTTAATAGGTGTCCTGGTTGCGTCATCCGACTAATTCTCCCACCCAACACTCTACATCTACCCTTATTACTACTTCATATATCGATCCATTTAATAAAAACAATATATTCTAGAACAAAAACCTGTAATTTCTCCATGTCGTCCAATTTCCCTAACTATGTATCATTCCCGTAAAACAGAAAAGACTAAAATGCTGTGTGGAATGTACATCATCTCATCGGCAAGTGGACATTATGCTGAAAATGAAGATGTAGACACTTGTTAAATACCCAACAAGCATTCCGAATCCATGCTGAGATTTCGTAGGGGATCACTTTATTCGAGATGATGCAAATCCCCAAATTAAGTGGCATATTCAACATATTTAATTAATTTACCTTCTAGCAAAAGAATGACAATAAGTACTGCACAAAATTGAGCATTTAGCAGCATAACAATCAAAAATGAACATTTGAGTATGAGACAAATTTATTGAAAAATGATGAGTACATGGTACAACAACTAGCATACAGACAAATATCAGCGACTTTTTTTATAGTGAATTGCCAATACCCAGAGCAGTAGTGACTGGTGAATTAGTCGGTGTTTGAACTACATTGCCTGGAGTTGCATTAGAGTAACTGAGCGTAGGGACTTTCTTGTTCGTTTTTGATCAGAAGGATCTAAATTTAAAGTATAGGAGAAAACAATTTGCATACGTGAACAGTGAGTAGAAGATGCCTCAAATTACAATGGGTTTTCACTTCATGGGTACCTCTAGTAAAAAAAACGAATGTGGGGAAAAGCTAAGTTGTCAGGCTGAAGTATTCTGCTACAAACTGCACATTACTGACAGTAAATAGCGTTTTTCCTAAATCTCTTTCATAAGTTTGTGGCTTCAATAAGACATTTAATGCTGCTAAGACTTCAAGTTCCATAAAACTGTGATTCTCCTCAAAGCATCCAACTGCGGACACCAGTGGGTCATGTTTTTAGCTGCAATTCACACCTATTCAGGCTTAAACAGCACACAAACACACACACACATCAGAAATGCACGTTACAACCTCGTTTCTCTGATATAGTATAATTGTATAGGAAATAAGACGGTAACTACTTTCAAAGCAAATGCATAAACATTACAATATTCGTTAGACGTGTCACCCCTATTATTCATGATTAGTGCCTTAAATGATGTTAACGAAAAATTTACTTGCTGTTGTGACATATGCGAAGTTTTGAGAATATTTCAAATAACACTGTTCCATAGTGTACGAAAGTGAACAAAAAGAATAATAACTCACATTCTCCAAAATGCACATCTTCCTACGTTATATATATATATATCCCTTAAAAAATAGTTTTGACACATAAATGCCAAAATATGACTGGAGTGTCAGCTGTAATATTGGACTGCTAACTCACCTATGACTGGAGATCGGGCGACAGCTATACCGCTTAGATAAGCAACACGAGGATAGTTTGAAGACTTCAAGAAATCATACTCCTCTGGAAGATTAAATTCTTCGATTTTCGCTTGCAAAAGATTAACTTCGCAGTCAATATTTTAAGAAACCGAAATTACCAATTGTTCCATATTATACAGTGTGCCTAGTTTTTTCCCAAACAACAACAGTGCTAATTGTTTCAATGAGAAATGAATTTGTGGGATTGCACAACTATATCATTTGGATATGTTGATCTGCTCCTACGGGTTGATGCTTAAGTAATGCTCGAACAGTTTTGACTTCTAATTCGTAGGTTCATACATATCAGTTGGTTTTGCCTCCAAAGCCTCAGGATGGTCGGGGGTGGGTGCCTTGCGCTGCGGGTTGGCCACCCCTCCGCACACCTCTTGAAATGCTCCCATATGACCGGGCGTCTTACATAGCCTCTCCTGAGGAAGTCCTTCACGTGGCGGAGGTGTTTTTCACCAAAGTGAGAGGGCGGAAGTGGATGTCTGGCGCTCTTCACCAGGTTGACTGTCCATTGGATGACAGTCTAGGGGAGATGGCTAAACCCTGATTCCAAACCTCCAACAACTGGCGTATGAAGCTCACTGGAGCTCACCGGCAGACGTATGGACAAAGGGCTTGTTGGATGTCCTGGATGTCTGGCCCCATTCAAAAAGGCGTACGAGCCGAACTCCGGTCACCGGCTGCCAATGGATAGTGGACTCCCTACTCCACTACTACTGCCTTGTAGGTCACACTTGGTTGTGTAAAGGCTAGAGCTGCACTCTCAAACAAAAGGCCGAGCGATTCTGGGGACATCACTCATACCAAATTCCCATGAAACTTCATGAACTCTCTTACAAACGACTACCCTGTCGCAAAACCTTGCATCAGATCGTCGCGCCTGGGCAGCGATGATTCGAGATGTTCATGAAGCCGGCTCATCCTCTCGTAGGAGATAGCCGTAGTAAAGTAAAGTAAAGTAAGTTGGTTTTGTCAACCATATGAGTAATTCTACGGCACTGAAAATCGTAAACCAAAACTAAAAGCATTAGAAGTAGGCGAATTGCAAGAGGCTTAAAAGAAATACCACAGAATTATTTTCCTCTTGGCTGACCAGCTTGCCAGGAAGCACATGAGTAAACTAATGAAACCAGAATCAATCACTCTACCCACAGAAACAATGGGATTTTACTGAATGAAATTGACAGTCACAGAACTAAAAGGT